TAACAGATATCCGAGATATATTATTGTTTGAAGAAACTCATGTACTCGCTTTATTATTTCTCATTGGTAACATTACGTCTTCCTCAATCTCAAGAAATCTTTTTGATTACACTTAAGTTAGTCAAATTCTAATAACACTTAGAAAGTTGTATCTTACTATGTTGTGGAGGTGGAAGTGGTTGTTGTTGTGATGATCGATTTGGAGGCGGTAGTCCAGGACGGGTTTGTTGTGGTGGATAACGAGAATGTTGATTGTAATTATTATTAACATGATGATGAGCTTGATAATGTGAAGATGGTGGATGTTGAAATGGTGGAGGATGTGATGACACCGGTGGACGATTTGATGATGAAAATGTTGGAGCTGCTGCTGATGGTTCTCGTTTAATAGCACCGGATGATGTTTGAGATGGTGGTGGAAGTGGTGGTTGTACAGGCCGACTTTGCGGTAATGGTGGTTGATTTGGTCGAGATTCAGTTTTAATTTCAGTTTTAATACGAGTAGAACCTTGTGGTACGACACTATCAGCCAAATCTGTTGGACGTAATTGAGCATTAGATGCGGATAGATTATGTTGAGATGAAGATGCACCACCTTCATTTGGATTCGATTGTGATTGCTTTAAGCAAATAATGAAATAGAGAAAAAATAAAGGTAGAAGTAAATTAGACAAACTCGTTCGCTTTGATAAACAAGTTTTTTCTTGATTTTTTCTGGACATTTTTCATAGATAGCAAGAAATTCATCAGCAAGTTCTAAATAATAGAAATTGAATGAATTTTATTTTTTTTTTGTCTATTAAAATCAAAGTCTTCTTACCTCCAAGTTGTTTTTCACTAAATGATTCATTAACAAGATGAAACCAACGTTTATTTGATGTATTTTCAGTTACTGCTGTATCAGATCCGTTAATCGTTGCAGTCGTAGATGCTGGTGGAGGAATCTGGAAAAATTATGTAAAATAAATATCATAATATAAAAGAATTCTTTTTGCTTACTTCGATTTTGAGCCAAGCAGCAGCCAAATGAATACAAAAACATGCAATAAGATCAGGTGGATATTTGACACAAAATGATGTGAGTAAAATACTAGAAGAAAGGATTAGGTGAGTATGTGTGTCTATTCACAACAAAACCACCACCTTTTCGTTGCCAGATAGTACGCCGTCTGAGCAAGTTCACGCGGTGCTAGAAATTAAACAAATATGATTACTATGACTATTTTTATTCATTGCAAATTATTCTTACTTTTTT